TTTGTTGTGGTTTAACCTCAGTTGGCAACTGAGCACCACACAGCCGCTCGCTCACTCCCCCCTCCCCCGGTGGCATGGGGGAGAGAATTGGAAGAGCACAAGTGAGAAAAACTCGTGGGTTGAGATAAAAACAGTTTAATAATTGAAATAATAATAATAATAATATGATAATAATAATAATACACAAAGCAAGTGATGCACAGTGCAATTGCTCACCACCCGCCGACCAATGCCCAGCCAGTCCCGCAGCGGCCCCCCCAGCCAGCTTCCCCCAGTTTATGTACTGAGCATGACGTCACATGGTATGGAATATCCCTTTGGCCAGTTTGGCTGTGCCCCCTCCCAGCTTCTTGTGCACCTCCAGCCTTCTCAGTCAGTAGAGCATGGGAAGCTGAAAAGTCCTTGGCTAGTGTAAGCATTACCTAGCAACAACTAAAACATCGGTGTGTTATCAACATTGTTCCCATCCTAAATCCAAAACACAGCACTGTACCAGCTACTAGGAAGGAAATTAACTCTATCCCTGCCGAAACCAGGAGACTTCTACATCCTTGAATGAAACTGCAGTTGAATCAGACAACATTTTTATTTTGTTCAGGAAAAAGGGAAACTATTTCTCATTGCTCATTGTGTACTTAGAATCTAGCACAATGAAATTGTAAGTGACAGCCTTCATAAAACCAAAATCTCCCTTAGCTGAGATAATATTATACAGGAGATAATTAGAGAATGAAATGTTTGTGCCCAATGCAGACTGGCTGCATGACTTCAGGGCATCTCTCTTGTCTGCTGCTAGTTGTAGCCCAGGCAACAGTAGGTGTCAGAAACAGGCACCATAAACATCAGCAATGTGTCTTTGCTTGTAATCAAACAGCATCAATGGTGCAAAATGAACAGAAAAAAAATGGTACCTTGGGTGTTCTGTCCCATGTGCTATGCAAAAAAAAAAATTGTGGGGAAGCACACAAACATACATGCAGGCACATACTCTCTGGTTTTGCCACCTAACTCGGAACAGGTATTATCCACAGTCTTGCCAGACATTATTCCGCAGTGTAAACTTGAAACTATAAATCTCTTTCAACCTCATTAGTTATTAATGAAAGAAGATAGATGGTTTTATCAGGGAAGTTTCTTCCTTGGTAATACATAGTATGTTCCCTCTGACATGACTCCATGGACTGAGAATTGTTACCACTGAGATGCCTTTTGACAATACATGAATGAGGATCACAGTATTATGGGAAGTGCGAAAGGAATGGAAATGCAGAAGATAAGCACCTTTCACTGTGGAGAACCTCAAATCCAATTGGCATAAACTTTTTGTTTTGTGGAGAAGGTCCACTTCAGGGGCAATCTGGTGACCATGAACAATGCAGACAGCTCTGAGAATGAATGTGCTTTCTTCATTTCCATAGATGATAATACAGAGGTGGCACCAGGGGCTTGCAGACCACTGCACCAAGCACTGCTTAATCACTTAATTTTTAAGAGTCTTTTTCTGTTCGTTACAAGGTATTTCTAGATCTACATTTGATCAAACACTATGTCATTCTGAAGCTCCTCAACAACTCCCAGCTTGATAATTATCTTTTCTCATGTTTGTCAATTTTCCTTTCTTTACACAATGAAAATTCTTCACCATTCACTTGTCCGCTTCTCCTAGGAGTACTCTCAATCTGCTGTTCCTACCCAATCTTGTGTCTGAGATTAAACCAAGTCATATTATCCAAAGCCTACTCCAGTCCTTTACAAGGTTTAGTTCTAAGGTGTTTCATACTCACTTGCTTATTAATGCCAAGAGGAATTACTGCTAATAATTTTTGGTGTTATTTTCAACTTGAAAGAAAAAAAGTAATCTTTAACTCCTGAGCAATTAATTGCAAAAGCAATATAAAAGAACTCATGTTCCTATTTACTTGTCCTCATTCTTCATTATTTTGTTACTTTTAGCTACGATTTCTGGACTTAGACTGGATGTTCTGCACAACCAGACCTGATTGCTTACTCATGGAGCTCTGAAGTCAGCCCCAATATAGCATTACAATGTCCTTTGGTAATAGCGTGAATAAAGGTTGAGATGTTAGGAATGGGTGGTAAGGTAAGAAGGGAAGACAATGCATTCTTATCTGTTTTGCTATTTTGTTGAGGGGGTTGGGTTGGGGGATTTTTTTGTTATCATTATTTTGCGAGATAGCAGGCAAGTTAAAAGAAAGAAAGACAATAACTAGAACTGGTATCATCAAAAAAACACAAAACCATGTTTGCTCCTGTCATAATACAAAAGTCTTTGGTGGAGAACTGACTTTTGGTGGTTGAGACACACAGGGCAGAAGCAGCAGATATATCACCCCAAACCAGTACTTTTAATTAGGTTAAATCCAAAATAATACATTAATGGGCTAGTTAAAATCCAGCCCACACTTTTTTCCTGCCATTTTTAAATAAGATTTATAAGTTGCCTCTGCTGCTTGCTATCAAGCAACTTGGATAGTTGTAGTGTAAGGGTACATGAAAGGCGAGAGCATCTGGTTCATTGAATTATTTGTTCATTTAATTATCTGGTTAAGGGTTAATTAGTATAACACAAATAGAAAACAACAAGAAAAGTGATAAATTCAACACAGAAACCAGGGTATAATAGAGATAATGACGAAGACCAAGACTAGCCTCTGATGAACGAGCCATTAAAGGACCGGCTGCGACTGCCTTGAGGAGGGTCAACCTCAACTTTGTAACTGATCATAAGGAGAGGAAAATATCATTATCACAAGTATTATGGGATGTTTGAGGGGGTTCATGGGACACATGGGAAATTCAAAGTTATTATGGGATATCAGAGGGGTCTTGTGGGATTATGTAAAATTTATTATGGGATGTTTAGGGGAAGGGTAAAGGGTGGGGAAGGATCAGGGAGGAACAAACATGGCAAAATGGAGAGGAGAAGGCAATCAAGGGGCCAGTCTTGTGTAAGCCGGGCCAGTCAGTATGCTTATGCCTGGGATGGAGACCCTGGGGTCTCCAGGTGCTCCAGTGCCCAGGCTGAAAGAATAGCCAGACCCTGGAGGCTGCTGGATTCAGTGGCTTCTGTAACATCCTTAACACAAGAAATAGAAAGACCCGTCTGATCTATTTTCATCATGATCCATATGGACAAGGACAGCCAGAATCCAATCATTTGTTATGCCTGAGGTAAGTTTCTTGGCCTTGGAGCTGTACCTACCAGAAAACTGTTGTAATAATCATAAATAAAACAACTGATCAGGTACAGTGACTACTATTTGCTCCAGCATCTAGCAGGGAATACATTTAGGAACACAGCAAAAGAATCTAATAAAACTTGATTTTACTTCAGGGAGACTCAAATGGTAGGGATAGTGGGAAATATTTATAGAAATGAAAAATTTATATAAAATATAAAAGATCCACTGATTTGGAATTGTTGCACTAAATCAGTATTGCTTTAATGTTTGCTATTACGAAGAGTCAATGAAGTGTAATCAGCTGTGTCACTGCAATTTAATTAGGTACAGGAATCAGATGCAACTATAAAAAAACATTTCACCCTAAAGATGTCTCTCACTGTCTCTATCTCAAATTAAGAAAATTCAAGCTTTGTATTTAGGTTTAAAAAATAAAACCATGAGAGGTCAAAATTTTATTTCAATGCATGAATCCTTTGGAAAACAGAAGTCCAAGCTAGAATTTCTTAAATGACTGTAGGACAGGACTGGCATTTCAAGAAATAGAAATAATAGTTGTCAAGAAAAGTCTGGAAGAGTACCATCTGAAAATAATTTATGAAGGCAGTATGTTGCCTAAAACATTATACTATCAAATATAAAATTATGCAATACATTTCCTGAAGGAAAAAATGCTTATTAGAAGACTTATGAAGTCAGAGACCAATTGAGATATTTTTCCAGCAGTACTTCAGCAGGTCCCTACCTTCATGATAACTTCTTAGCATCACTAAATTGTATTTCAAATGGACAACAGAATCATTACATTTGGTTATTGTTCCTGCAAACCTTTCTAACATACTTAATATATTAATGCATTTACTTTTATTTTTTGCAGAACAGAGATTTAGCAGTGATAGATAGACTAGTTCAATACAACACAGAAGTTTCTTAAGCTTTTGCCATATTATATATGAACAAGTAACATTTAATTATTAACAGCATTTGTCTTGCCTATACACTTCCACAGTTCAGCTGATTTTGGATGTACAGTTTCCAAATGAGATGATAAAACACATTCTGACATGATGATGAGCAGGGTCAAGTGAATTTTTGGAAATATCAGGGGAACTGTCTTCCTAACTAATTTTTCTGTCTTGATTCTTTTGCTTTTGCATGCGCATAAGAACTTGAGTATTTTTAAAAGAAAAGCAGACATCCTCTGATTCCACTTGCCTATCTGTATCAGCAAAGCAAACTCATGAATTTTTAACTGTCATGGAAACCAATACCCAGGTGTCTCCATTTTGGATTCTTTATGAAAAAGAATGTGAATGTCAAAGTTTTGGGGAGTCATGCATTGCTATTAATCTTATGCTTCGGTATCTATTTATAATAGTTATTTTTTGAAGAAACCTCTCTGTAGAGGTACCTGTGGTATTTTATAGGTGTTTAAACACATAGCCTCCTTTTTCTGTTAGACACAATTAAAGCTAATTTGAAGTATGCTGTATATATTTTTCATCCTATTATTGAAGAGCTCTTCAAAGCACAACTACTGGAGACTATGTCTATTCAGGTGCAAAAGGAAAAAAAGGTTCCTTTGGATCTGTGCTATAAAAGAACATCTTAAATTCTGATACTATCAAACTTTAACAGCTACTCAAATTCATCCAATTAAAAATATAAAAAAAGAAGAGACCCTGTAGAACAAAAAAGATAAGCAGCAATTTGTCTCAGTTAAAAGGATGTATTTCAGGCTATTATCTATCACATTACTACTACTAAATATGCTTAAATATTCTCCAGCAAACTCACCTCTTTTTGACGGTACTTAATTGCCAGTTTCAATCTTGCAAGATCATTACCACTTTGTTCTTCTATCAAGCTATTATCATCTCTGTAATTAAGAATAGTTTCCAATTCCCTAGAACTCCGTGTCTGATCCAGGAGATCTTTTGCAAATTGCTTGCATTGCCGCGACAGTTCCTCATACTCCGACTTAAATTCATTTTCGACTTTACTCAGTTCCTGCAGCTCCCAGCTCAGTTGAAAAGCGGTGAGGAAAGGATCCTCACTGGACAAAGCAATCAAAGATGGGCTTGCCAGAGCCTTGTAAATATTGAGTCTGGATCGAGAGTGGCGGAGGCTGTCCACATCAGAACTCGAGACACATTCGACACAGTTACAGCGGACCTCGTGTGGCCTTGGCACAGAGACCCCTTTCTGCACAAGGAGCTTTATGATTTCGTAATTGTTGGTGTGGGCAGCCAGAATAATGGGTGTGATATCCGGTGTAAATTCCGAAAACTGCTTGTCCAGAAGCACTGGTGGCACCTGTGAAAAAAAGCAAAAACCCTTACAGGTCTCTTCATTGAACAAGAGCTATAGAAAATTAAGCTATAAATAGTTTACCAGGTAGTACACTTACTGATGGATCTTTGCTTCTGGCCAGAGTTGAAGGAAACACTTCAAACATAACAATTCAATTAGCTAAAATAGCCTCTTTCCAGTTAATAAATTGCTATAAACAGGGTGTGATTTTTCATAAAACCTGTTTGTACGTAAACAGCCCATGGGTGACAATTCGTTAGAGCAAATGATTAGATAAACAAGGAAGAGTCAGACATAAATGCTCCTGTTGGGTCCCTTGAAGTGCCAGCTGTGAGCAAGATGGAGATGCTTTCTCATCTCCCACTGGTTCCGCTCAGTTTTATAGGGAAGAGAGAATCATGGGGGCATAACTGTGATTCTCTGAAGGAAGCAGTGAACAGGACACAGACAAGTTAGAGTTATAAAATAAAGTGGGCAAGTAAATGATAAAGAAAAGATATGTTTTCTTAAAGAGAAGGTTGGAAACGTAACTGTATAGAGAAACAAAGATACCTGCTGTGAAGAGCTTAACATCTTAAGGCTCAGTTCTACATTCACATGCGCAAACAAACATACTCTCTTTACAGGAAAATGGGAGAGTTGGTAGAACAAGGGCCTCAAGAGGGCATTTTTAAAGCCTTTTCTGGTGTGCATTTCTGTATTTTCAGTCTTCTGGTATGTTTCTGTATGTTATCAGAAGACTGTAAGGTCTTTCATTTTAAGCTTGTTTATTTATTTTACAATGCCAGATTCTAAAGTCTTTCCCAAATCAAGACAGCTCATTAGACTAGTATGATGAAGCCATGTAAGTATAATTAACCAATGTCAATAAAAAAATGGTATTGGCATCACCACTTATGGACTGCCTTTGGTCAATACCTCAATAACCAAATACAAACTCAATCCACATCAGCGAGGTGCTCTGAGTGATGCCCCTTTAGGAGGAAGAGAAAAGAAAAACATTTGACTAAAAGTTATCTGAAGGCTAGAGAAATAGATGGCCACTGGAAGGAGGAAGAAGTGTTTGATAGAAGTCATATGACAGAAGAATGACCTCGTCGCCAGGTGGAAAAAACACAAATAGCTAAGAGGAGAAGTTAATAGGAAACAGGTAAAGCATGTGAGAACAGTGTAAGAATGAGTTGAAATGAGCTACCTTTAGAGCTTTGGGAAGGAAAGAAACAGAGCACAGCATGAAATGTGCAGAATCAGGCAGAAACTCAGTGAAAAAGAAAACTATAATGAAATTAAGCTGAAAAGAAATGGTAGTCTGTGGATCTAAATCCATAAATAAAATCCATAGATCATGGATTTTTTTCTCCCTCTTTCTAATGAAGACAGTGTGTATTTTGTACATTTTTCAGCTGTTCTGCATGTAAAACAGCTCATGTTTGTTCAATGGGACTGTGTCCATGTAGAAGAGCTGCTATGTGTGTGGGATGTAAAACAGGGGCCTGAAGCACTAATTAGCTGAATGAGAGAATTACTTTGGGAGGTGGCCACTTATTCATGTAAAATGGGGTGGAGAGTCAAGACTGGAGATCTGGCGTTCGGGTCTGTAATCACACATCCCTAGGGAAACAATCCCTGCCTGGCCATTGCGCATTGCTGACCTCAAGAAGCTGTGCCGGATTCTGAGAAGGTATGTGGAGTCAATGGGCAGAAATCCCTTTTCTCCCTTCCCACACACTCAAACATGCACGCTTAGCTTGGCACTGGGTAAGGCTGGCACGGAGTCCGTTTTAGAGCAGGGCTGTGGGATGCCTGAGCTAGCCCACCCACCCTCACAACCCCATGCAGAGGGAGCAGCTGTCCTCACAGTCCTCCCCACAGGCTCATGGGAGGCGTTTACAGCCAGCGGTTGTGAGCCGAGCAGCTCCTGAGCAAGTTCTCTTCTGCCTTCCTCTTCTTTATTCTGAGGTACAAATGAAATAGTGTAGTGTGTGCAGGCACACAGAGAAATATGGGTTTAAAATTACTTAGGAGGTAAGGAACCCAGCTGAGAATATACTGAACGTACGTATGGATGGGGAGACACTCGGGTACAAGAACAAGCAGAAGGTTTTTGTGCTATGCCCAGTCTCAGCTGCAGTCAGGACAAGAAACACAACCCGGGCATGTGTCTTCTCAGAGGACTCTGGCTATGTCCACACTGCTCTGTCAGATCTCTCGCAATGCTAGAAACCTCCAGGGCATCTCTGGTCATCTGTCACCTTCAGGCTGAACACTGCACAGAGCCCTCCCGGGGATGCCCACGTGCCCAGATAGCTTCATTATTTCTGTCCAGTGTGGACTGGAGTGGACTGGGGCTTGAAATCCATATCTCTTTTCTCACCTGTCTGTGGTGTTAGTGGGGAAAATGAGACCCATTTCCAACCCCAAACCTCACTGGTTATTGTAGAAAATAGAGAGCACATGTGCACACACACACTTTTCCTGCTCTCCAAATTGCAACTGTGGTCAATGCTTTTGAGGCTAGAAAGAGATTAAAATGGCACTAGAGGCTCAAACTTTGCATTAGGAGAGGTGAACTTTTGGGCCATCATAGGTCTGAAAAAGGTTTGCAGGGAGGGATGTATTGTGCTCTGACAGCATCCACAACTAGTGAGACTCCCCCTTGGCCCCAGGGTACCAGGGAGTAGAGGAGAGAGCTGCAAGGGCGGAAGACTCAAGGATACAAAGCTGTAACTCCAAACTCACCAACTTCTCAGAGTATTCCTCTGTCACTTAGCATGTTATTATCTTTGTACTTTTTGACAGTAGTAAACTAATATTTGCTTCAAGCCCTGCCAGAACTGAAGGCTATCTTAACATGTCATTAACAACAATCTTCTCTGAAAAATTGAGACACAGCTTCAAACAACATGGCATTACAATGATTGACTTGTACATGGGGTCCATTAAGTCAAAAGCTGCTTGTTTTTCTCACAGCTTATCAAAACCTTTCAACTTAAGGTAACTCGGCTATAAGGTTAATGCACACATTTTGGAATTCATACCATCAGAATTTACCCAAATATAGAACTGTGTATTAAATAATTTCAGCCTTAACTTGCAGAAACATTTAAACTTAAAGGGCAGACCCTAAGACTGCAACTTTAATTACATCATGAGTTTAACTCCTGACCCTTCACCTCCTATTTTAAGATTTCCTACTCATTTAAACCAAAGATATACAGAATGCCAAAGCAATAAGGTCAAATTATTCCCTTATCTGCAGCATAATGAAGTACTTATCTTTTAAAGTTCTGAGTGCTCTCATGGTGCTCAGAATATTTCAGCATTTAACTGTTGGTCCAGAGTACTTGCTCTGAAGTCACCAGACTTATGATGAATTTTACTTTCAAACTACTGAAAAATAATTCTCTTTAAAGAAGCCAAAACAAATAACCAGCACACACTGATATTAGCCACACAATCTAAATCTTTGACAGAACACTCACAGAAAACATACAAATCTTCCTTAAATCCTGGGAGGATGGAAAGCTACTAGGTTATACAGTCACTGACTGTGGCTCCCCAAGGCTTAGCAGTAGTGTGAATATATTATACACTGTGGAGTTAATATGTCAAGTGTGAGGCTGCTCAAACTTAGAAAGGTCAAATGATTTTTGCCTTCTTACATTCTGTTGAAGGTTTTCTACTTCAACATTTCTTATAGGGCTGAGCAAAGCAGTTTGGTGATTGTGTATACTTGTATGCGTATCTGTATGGGGATGAGTAGGCAAAAAGAAAACGAAACAGAAAAGAAGAAAACATAGCTCAAAGTCTGTACACTTCAGTGCTTAAGGACATGAGATTTTTTGTTGCGTTCCTTTTCCCTGCACTTACTCTAAGTGGGAATGAGTCAGTCCGACTTAGATACCTAACAATTTTTTTAGATACCAAGTGGAACAACCCTCTTCAACATGTTTTTAAGTTCCCTGTATGGTGTGTGTGAAGAGAAGCCCCTTTGCTATGACAGAAAGAGAAATCTAGGCTAAATTAATGTCAGTTAGGTCTGAGACATTTTCTGTCCCTATGACATCAAGGTAGAGAAATTGACTGTTGATAGATCGATCTGTTAGATATCCAGGAAACAGAAAAAGATAACAGTCAGTTTGGAAAAGGAGGAACCGATACCCCAGGTGCATCCATGTCTCCATCTAGATGTCTCATAATGGCTTTCATTACTATAATATCTTAACAGATAGACTGAAAACTGCAGTGCCCATTTATCTACTTTTTAAGTGCAAGAGCTCAGAATGTACGTAAAGCAACTTATTTCTTTGGGTAAATAGATAGCTCACTTGGTTCTTGTCATTGTTTATTTATTTACAATTATTTTGCCTTTTGCTTGTAAAGAAGAGCAAATCCTGCAATGGCTGCAAGTAGTTAGGTGAATAAATTTCTGAGTCATGTCAATCATGACAGCATGATTGGAGGAAAAGCCTAAAGTAAAGTAAAAAAAGAACATAGGACAGGTAACAAGATGAATACATATGTCATCTCACGCAGTACCACATTATATAAGGAAATTAATATGATAAAGGTGTGTCATCAAGCTCATCAGTTGCGTCAGCACTGTTGCTCTATAGCTGTCATCAGCCAAACACCTCAAAAATGCTGAACTCCACATTTCAGTAGAGCCCACAGCATACAAGTTATCCCTATGTATATACAGTTTTCTGATTTACATTCTGGTTTGTTGAGTTCTTCTCTTCTTTGGTTTCATATTATTATATCAGTTGAAGTACATCCTGATTATATGATGGAAGTAGTTCCACCAGGAAGGACTGAAAAAATCCTCCTACCCCCGACTCCTTTCACATGCACTAAGTCACTGATAAACTACCAGATAACTTGAATTACTTAAAGATACAACTTCAAGATAACTTGAATTCAGTTGTCACACCACTGAAGGGGTCTGTACACAATCAATCCTGAAAGTCATGCTGAAACTATCCTCACAAGACTGCACAAAC